ATCACTGACGAGCAGGACGTATCTGATGCCGATGTAAAACCGTGTGCCGCATACCTCTTGCAGACATCGTTTACATTCAGGAATCGAAAGTCAAATCTGCAATCCTCTCCAATTAACCCGAATGGATGTTTCATGAAACCACCCATCTATTTCTTTTCACATGAGTCGAATGGATGTCATGGGAAGTCTCCTGCTGACTGTACAGCTGCGGCTACTAATAATAATAGGATTGATGATACTCCTGCGAGTATTAGTGATCGATGGAAGTTGAAAGACACACATCGTCGTCGAAATGATCGTACGTCACGCTCACATACTGCTACCCAAGCTAAGAAACGACATGATGCTACTATTATTAAGAAGCCTAAACTTCGTTCTCTTTCGGATGCTATGACTAGCAATGGAAATAGTAGTCATCAGAATCTTAGCAGTGACAGCGATAGTAAAGAGACAGAAAGTGTGAGCAATCCATCTATAGTGACCAGTCGATCAACTTCATCGAACGAGCTTTCTAGTGTTTTGACGTCATCGGACCCTGCCTCGAATGCTAAGTTGGTTGAGGATACGCAAGATTGTGTAACTGTAAGTGTTCTTACTTCGGTTGACTGTCAGTCAAGTGATGATTAGAAGGAAGTGTCTGACAACGAATTGACTGACTTTATTATGTCTTGTTGGGAATGTTAGATCCCGAAAATTCACTTGATAATGCCGTTTTTTGGTTTTCACATTTGGCCGGCATGGGCTGATCAGATGACCTTGAGATTTCAATTCCCACCAGGATATATGAATATATGGATATATGGATCCTGCCAAACTTGAATTATTACTTGAGCAGCAGCTGAAACTGATGCAGATGTTGACAGACATGAAGATTCCCCTTCCACACAGCCCAGCTCATCTAATGCAACCACAGCCCCATCGGTCGACGGCATCGCAAATGGAATAGCTGAATTTCATTATGATCCTGATGCAAATGTTACTTTTGACATGTGGTTCTGGCGTTATGAAGATTTAATTAAATATGATTTCGCCAACCAAGATGATGCTCGGAAGGGTCGGCTGCTACTTCGAAATTTGGGCACAAGTAACTGGATAAGTATTGCAATTTCATCCTCCAATTGAATAATAATATTTATCGAATAGGTAGTGAAAAATTTATCAATTTGATAACTATTTAGAACAATAGATTCACACGAAATCATATGACAATCATCATGAATAGTTAGCTTTACTAATTTTCAGGGTATCTTGTGTCCTCCAAAATAATTATATTCTATAAATGCAGTGATATACTACCAAAAACCTACTTCTGTATCTTTTCATCCCTGCAGTAATTGGAAATAGTTTAAGGCTCCCTCTCAATGTTCGAACCATCCATGTACTTAGAAGAATAGATGCTACAGGTGTCAGGACGAACGTCAGTCGCGTGAAGAAAGCTTGATCACGGCTTTGATCGTGTAACTTCATGAGTTGAATGTTTCCTGGTTAGCTGATTTTTAGCGAATTAGAGATTTTTCACAGGATACGGTCACCAATCACATGCCCAATTCTCCTGATATATACCACCTTAGGACCGGCAGTAGCCATACAGGCGGTTCAGGTAGAATTCAGCTATATTCAGCATATTATTGAAGTGTTACATTTAATTTTTTAGTCTTTTGCTAAACTCGTCCGTATTCACCATTGAATATACTCACTTCATCTTCTGCAGACGACCCTAACCAAACGAATTCCATCTATTGGTATTGTTTAGAGCTGTGGAAAGTGAGCTGTGGTGTGGATTGGGGAATATTTGTCCAGGTAGTTTGGATACGCGTGTTGCCTAGTATAAAGTCAAAACAAGTGATTTTAGTAAAGAACAGTTCTAATATTTATCATAAATATAAATATACATCATCATATATACAATATTGCCGCAGCTTTCACGCCACCATTTTTCAATTATTCAAATTATTGATATATTATCCCTCATTGATAGATCACTTTCGTTCGACAGATAATACTTGGTTGCTTTATACGAAAGAGTGTTTCTAATTTAGTAAAAGTGCTCGAATTCACAAACAAAATGCACAATTTCAGTTAAAGTAAGCGATCCAATCAAAAGAGGAACAAATCCATATGGCTGTCGCCATGACTAACTATCTGACTAAACTAGATAGTTGCAGGTAGGAAGAATTATAGAGACTCAGTGAAGTGCATTTTTGGCAATTTCTCGGAAAGATTGTATACTTCGTTTCACACTGTAATATGGTTTCGATTGTTCCAAGTGAGGTAGTGTTTGGAGAAGCCGTAAAATTCATTCAGCAGTTCTTGTCCTCTACATTTTCAGCGTGCCTTCGTGATTCGCTAGTGCAACGAAATCCGTTTTCTACTAGAAAGCAGAAGGTTAACGAAATGGTGTCTGGTCAACAGACACAAATTATTTTACATGAAAAACTGTTAATAATTACTTTTGTGCTATGTGTTATTACTTAAGAAGCTCCTCAAGTGTTTGCACTATACATCAAAACTCTATTGACTTTCGTATTGAAAATTATGGCTCTGGTGTTGGTTGATATTTGTTTTGAGTTCCAGATGTTGTTAGATTGTAAAAATGCTTTCGCTATTATGTGCGTTGAGAACTGCTGCAGATGCTGGAGCTCCTGTAAGCCATTGCGGGGTTTCTACTGAATTGGTTGACTTTTCAGTTTTCCGAAGAAAGGCCGTAGTAAACGTTGGCGATAATCGTCCGCCATGCACGATTCGACAGTTTGATTCGTCATAAGAATCCTGTATGATGTTGCTTTTCTTCTCAGCGCCACTCATAGTGTAGAAGATGCCTGCTCAGATATGTCGTGTCCACATTATCGAATTCTTTCACGTAGTCAGAGAAACTGATGAACAGTGCTGGGGTCTGTTCAACTGACTACTCCACAGTGATCCGTAATGTTGCGATTTGGTAGGTACACTATCGAACGTAATGAAATCCAGCCTACATAAAGAGACATCACTCCTGTCTCACTGACAGGCAAAGTCTCCAGCAGGGTATTGTTAAACAGAAAGAAAGACTTCATAAACGCTCAACTTCGAGATCGATAGGCTGGATTTCGTTAGGATCGATCGTGCATCAACCTAATCGCAACACTGCGAATCACTGTGGAATAATCAATTGAATAGAACTCGCCACTCACCCACTCATTGAGGTTCACAACGTTGTGGTGCTCACTATTCGTAATAGAGACATAAATCTGTTGGATCGAGTGAAGAAACGAGCAACAAAGTGGTTGACTGAGGCGAAGATCGAAACCAAAATTTATAGACTCTAGCAGTTGGGATTCTTCTCTCTGAGTTACAGCAGAATCATAGGTGATCTGATAAGGGCGTACAATATAATAATCACTCTGAATCATCTCAGCGTAAACACCTTCTCAATGTATCACCTTTGTGGTGGCCAATTTCGACGTCAGGCTCACCAATTGTGGTGTGTCGATTTACTACGTGTTCTTAAGCTCGGTAATTAGCTCGTCTAGATAATCGTTACGAAGTAGAATCTGACGGTTATATATCAGGAGGTGAACTCGTAGTGATGAATACGTTTATTTGGGAAACACTACAAAGCGATGCGAGGAAGCAGTGAGTAGAACGAACGAGGCGACGTGAATTGGAGGAGTCTGTTAAGCCGACTCCTAGAGATAGAGCATGACTAAGAATATATAGTCAGACAAAAATAAGACAGACATGTGATCAACGAGATGATAGGTGTGTACACACACATGTGAATAAAAGCGACGAATGATTGACAAGGTCAAATGACAAGTGAGACACGTCATGTGAGCTCATACAAACCAATAATAATAAGAACGAATGGTACATATAAGTTGTTGTTACGCAAATGGCTTGGTCAAGTAAATTATTCGAAAAGGCTTAACCAAGTTAGATGTAAGCAAACTGAAATATATGTGGACGCACTACACTATCATATCCCTTTGCTTGTAATGCCCTTCTTGCCGAGGTGACTACAGACCTCTCAGTTAACAGCGTTAAGAAGACTTCATAAAAATGTACTCATATTACTTACTTACTTACTTACGTCTGTGACCCCCAATGGAGCATGGGCCACTGACCGGCATCCTCGAACTTCCTCTGTCCTACCCCTCCCTCTCCAGGTGTATGCAAATTTTGTTCATTCTTTCAATGTCTGTCTACTCTTCCCAGAGTAGTGTGTCTGCCACTTTTCTGTTAACCTTGAGGATTCCAAGTGAGGGCTTGTTTCGTGACGCAGGTGGGTGCTTTCTTCAGTGCATGCGCTATCCACTTCCAGCGCAGCTTCCTGATTCATTCTTGTGCTGGAATCTGGTTTGTTCTCTCCCACAGAATGTTTTAACTGATAGCGTCTGACCAGCGAATCCGAAGTATTTTGTGTACATAACTGTTAATAAATACTTCTTTCTTCTGGATGATGGCTTTTGTATTTCTCCGAGTTTCCGCCACCTACAGTAGTAATATCTTGATTTTTGTACTAAAAATTGTGACTTTGATGTTGTTTGATAATCGTTTTCACTTCCAGATATTCTTCAATTAAGTAGGCTACCACGCACTCACCTCATGATTGTCATCTTCCTCGTGGACCATCTGTGCCTGGTGCATGTCTTGAGATCTGTTAGTTGTTACTATTTCCATCTCATCAGATCACGTAGATATCTATTCATAGACTTAGAGCTGAAGTCTTATTATTATTAGCGGCAGACTTTTAAAATTATTATTCCCCTCAATGCAACTAACTGATCTCAAGCCTAGTAATGTGAAAGCTGTTGGTATCTAGAAACCCTACTTTCCTCAAACAAACGTACTCATTCAAATCACTGCACATACAGACTCACAGACAACTGCTAACCGACTAAAATTAGTGCGGTTGAGACCGTACCGATGGATCAAGAATGGAGCTCAAAGAAACCAATTGTTTTGTACTCACTCGTGAAAACGATATTGGGTATTGGATATTGAGTTCCTGGGATTATTTTGTACCATTGCGTTACGTTGCGACAGGTGGGTTCTTTTTGTTTTGTTTTTACATCCCAGTGTGCTCTCATCCGACAAGGCCTGTAGTGTAAATGTAAGACTGCTAACATAATCACTTTCACAGGGCAAAGTCGGATGCTTTAGGTAGGTTTATGGTTAGTTAAGACGATGTTTCACGGCAGCATGTACAGGCCAACATCTAGAAGGAATTATTGTAGGCTGCTGTCAGGCAACATTTTGACCACTCATATTGACTCTGTTGCTCCTTTTCCTACCCCTATCACTTAAATCTCAGACACGGAATCCTCTCACAGCTTATCACAGGTCGGGTCTATGTTCGTTGATTAAGACAATCTGCATACTCGATAAATACACCGTGACTGAAAATAGGATGAGAATAGTGTTTTACCCCTTTGGACGGATTCATTTCATGCAGTTTATTGTCCTATTTGTGTGAATCGTACAACATATTCTAGCTTGAATTATTACGAGGTAGTACAACCCCAGACATATTAACCTGTTATAATAATGTGTGGACTTCATTTATTATATTCAGAGTAATTACTCAAACAACTGTGTAGATTACTTTTAAGTGTGATTAGTCAAAAACTACCCAAATCTTTAGTCGTATTCTTTGTTGTGACGTTTGATTATTTGACCCTGTTGATTGTGAGGTTCTGTGGCTGTTTCTGTCATTGGTAGGTGTACAGAAAAAGAACATCAACCTTGCACATGATCTCTACGCGTACACTACTGTTCGAGTGAGAGCTTATGACAAACCGAATTGATTACCTCAAGTAGTGTTTAACAGATTTGTCCACTTACTCCAACCTTAATAAACTTAATCATTGATATGCTCTTAAATCCGACGTTTTGATCGTCTAGCTTTTCGGTACATGGACTGCTGCCAAGTGATTAACTCGTTGACTCAGTCAGTCAGTTGCGACGCAGATCTTCGTACGTACGTAAATCATTCCAAGTTGCCATTCCACATAAGCACAGAGACTTGATTGTCACTTCAAATCCCATAGTAGTCGAGATAGTTAAGTATTAGCAGTAATCGGAAAAATTGGGGTTTGACGATATTATTCATGAAGTAGAATGTGGTGAAACATACCTGAAAGAAAAAGGTGATGAGGAATCAAAATGTTCAGGAACACAAAGAATAAATGCGTCTGCGCCACTCCAAACGATTTTGAGCCATGTCATTCAGGGTCTCTAACCATCGATTACTATCACCCCAACCAGGTAGTCGACGCCTACCAACATTCATCAATCTATTTGTCAGTGACTTCATGGCTTTGCGCCATATTTTGGCTTGGTCGCCTTTAGATTTCTTCCAACCTTTTCCTACACAGCAAAACTTAGCTCAACGAGGTAGTCAGTGGTTAGACATATGCAACACATGTCCCAACCACCTCAACTGATGAAGATTCGTTACTTCGTCAAATGATCTGTGATCCTTACCTAGTACCCGTATCCTAACAGTATTGCTTACTCGGTTTTCTTGGGATAAACGAGCAATGCTTCGAAGACGTCTATAATCGCATACCATTAACCTACGAATATACTCTACTCTTGGTGGTCATGTTTCACAGCCATAAAGTAGGACAGAGTGGACTGCCGCACATTACACTCATCGTTTGGTTGTTAGACGGATACCTCACCTACGCCGTAAGCAACGCAAGTTGGCAAAAGCCAATCGAGCTGAGATTTCGTCAGTCACCAGGCCATCATCAGCTTTTAAGTGTATGGGGGCGGATATTACTTGGCGGCCTCCCGCACTGTGGAAGGGTTCTGGTTGTCAGAAGGGGCATCAGCGTCGTGACTTCCGAATAAACTCGGCTCTCATCATGCGACGTCATAACACTTCTAAATAAAGACGTTCTAACTCCCATGGTGGATTTTAAATGGTTTGAATTGTTTTTTCTTGTTATTGTTTTTTAGCGGGTTAGTATTCTAAGGGCTATTCAATGATGAAAACGATATTTTGCAGACACTGCTAATGGGTACATCCATTATTATTCCCAGTTTTTCTAGCATATCTAGACCAAGAAGATCAAGGTTTAGCCGTTCTGTCAGATAGCATATTCCTGTACATTTTTTTCCGTTGAAGGAAAATTCACACTGCATCTCACCAACCAGTTTTAACACACCACCTGAAAGCTTTTAGCTGTTTTCTTAGATGGCTTCATTGGTGGTTTTCCCAGCAAGTTGTACGTTTCTCTAGACATTAAGGTGATATCTGATGCCATGTCGATTTGAAAACGAGCTGATGCACCGTTCTCCGAACGTCATAGTCTGTTTGGAAAGCAGCTACGAGAGAAAGTGATTTAGACTCGTCTGATTTCACCATATGTCGAGTACGTTTGTGCTTCTTCTTGGGCTGAGACGTACGATTTGGTTGGCAATGGCCTTCTTTATTTCCACGTTTATTGCAAATCTGACATTTATGTTTTTTAAATGGACAAAACCGTACGTAGTGCCAATCACCACATAACCAACATGCCGTCGTTGGTTTGTTGCAAAATGTTTTCGGCTTCCGTACTTTTAACCTAGTAATACCATTGACACTACTGCTGGTTAAATTCGGATTTACCTGTTCGACCAAAATGTTGTCGTGTTTGATACTTTGTAGACGTTTACACTCATCTATCAACGTTTTGAGTGTAACATTCGGGTCTTGGTCCATTCGAATCAAAAGTCTAGTTCTGATTTCAGCATCTTGCGGTGACTGAAGAGCTTTGATGAATATTAAGCATTTAAACTGGTCTACTGCCAACGAGCGTAACTTGAACCGTTCACATTCTCTGTTGACGACGTCTGCAAGAACCGCATATTCATCATCTTCGTGTTTCACCAGATTTAGACAATGATATCTAATACTAAACAATGATGATGATTCGCTGAAAATATCTGACAGCTGAGTTACTGTCTCCTCAAAACTGAGCTCTCGAGGTAACTTCGGTAGTATGTGGTCAGCGTAACGTGCATACTCATTACTTCCCAACTTACGGAGCAGCAATCGAGTCTTCCATGCATCATCTTGTTTACCGAATTCAATTCTAAATGTATCTTCCCAACGTTTGAACCACGTCAGAAAAGTATTTCCACATTCAGGATTATAGACGAATTCTGGTATGCTGTTAGCCACTGCTTCACAAGACGTATTTAAAATAGTATGTGGACTCGAACACTGGATGTTGAGCTGTTGAGTTAGGGTCTCCAACAACCGCATTTGTGCATCTAATTGTGCTTGCTGTTGTTGTAGTATTCGGTTAAGCTGATCATCTGAAATAGGCATCTTGAAAGTTTTTTTCCTTTTTCTCCGTCGCCACTGTTGTAACGCTTGGTTAGATATTCTCTAGCTAAATCTTATTGCTTAGTATTCTTGACACAAAACACTGGACAAGTAACCCAAATCAAAACACGGTTGAACAGGAAAGATTATATTCCAAAATAGCAAGGAATAAGAAGCCGGAGGTGATGGCGAAAGCCAAGGCAAAAAAAGCAAAGAAGGCAAAAATAAACACAACGCCAGTCTATTTATAGCCTTTACATGAGAAAGCTTCTGGAAGAAAATTCAAGTGATCGGCTGGATTAGACTTAACCAATCAGCGTGCAGCTAATAATACGAGAATTTTCAATCCTGTTCTCCAAGCTTCGATCAGGCGCTGATTGTATAGGAATTTAGCAAGTCAGCGCGCAGCAACGTAGTCGTGCTTTAATTCCATCTATATCCCACTAACAATTATTTTTCCAATATCTTACGAAACGTATTAGTCCTCTCTCAAAACATTATCAAGTAAACTGTTAGGTAGAGTTTGAAGCTAAAGCTTTTATAGTTTAACTCAATCCAATCTCTTCAGTATATCTGGACAGGCAAGCATTTTGTCGTAACAATGAATAAATTATTTATTTCATTTAAACACATAAACATTACAATACAAAACAGCACTTAACTATTGATGCGACACAGAAATTATTGAATTTATGAGTAGGCTGGGATATTATTTCTCAGGTACCAAAACTGGAGAAAGTTAATTACTTTGACTAATATTGTTGGGCCTTACTTACTTACGCCTGTTACCTGCAATGGAACATACGCCACCAACCAGTTTCCTCCAACCAACTCTGTCCTGTGCTTCCCTTTCCAGTTTCTGTTCATTCTTCTCATGTCTTTCTCTACTTCTCGGCGTATTCTGTCCCTTGACTTTCCTCTTTTGCTTTGACCTTGAGGGTTCTATGTGAGAGCTTGTCTTGTGACGCAGCTCGGTTCTTTTCGCAATGTCCTATCCACTACCAGTGCTTCTTCCTGATTTTCTCCTCCACTGGGATCTGGTTTATTCTCTCCCACAGAAGGTTGTTGCTGATAGTGTCTGGCGAACAAATCCGAAGTATTTTGCGAAGACAACTGTTTACAAATACTTGTATCCTCTGGATGATGCCTTTCGTAGTTCTCCAAGTTTCCACTCTATATAGTAGAACTGTCTTGACATTTGTACTGGAAATCCTGATTTTGGTGTTGATTGATATTTGTTTGGAGTTCCAGATATTTTTCAATTGTAGAAATACAACCTTCGCTTTGCCAATCCGCACCCTCACATTTGCATCGGATCCACCTTCGTTGTCCATGATGCTGCCCAAATATGCAAAGGTGTTAACGTCCTCCATAGAATCTTCATCAAAAGTGATTTGTTTGGTGCATGTTGTGTTGCATCGGAGAATTTTGCTTTTTCCTTGATGTATGTTGAGACCTACTGCTGCAGAGGCTGCTGCTACACTGGTCGTCTTCTCTTGCATTTGTTGTTGTGTGTGCGATAGAAGAGGCAGGTCATCTGCGAAGTCCGAATCGTCCAGCTGCGTCCTAACTGTCCAGTTGATACAGTGCTTCCCTCCAGAAGTTGACGTCTTCATAATCCAGTCGATTGATGACCAGGAGAAAGAGAAACGGTGGGAGTAAGAAACCTCGCCTCACACCGTTCTTCACCTCGAAAGAGTCTGTTAGCTGTCCTTCGTTTACGATTTTGCAGTTGAATCCATCATAAGTATTCCGTATGATGTTAACTATTTTCTCAGGCACACCGTAGTGTCGAAGAAGCCTCCACAGTGTTTCCCTGTCCACGCTATCGAATGCTTTCTCGCAGTCGATGAAGTTGATGTAGAGTGGTGAGTTCCATTCAATTGATTGTTCCACAATGATCCGTAATGTAGCAATTTGGTCAGTACACGATCGATCCCTACGAAATCCAGCCTGTTGATTCCGAAGTGGGCGTCTACGAATTCCTTAATTCTATTTAACAACACTATGTTGAAGACTTTCTGGTATTAAGAGAAGAGTGATTCCTCTGACGTTCCCACACTTACCGAGATTGCTTTTCTTTGGTATTTTGATGAGGTATCCTTCTTTCCAATTTGATGGTACTTGTTCCTCATCCCAAATCTTCTTGAAGAGGATGTTAAATATTTTTGCAGTTGCTTCCACGTCTGCTGTGATTGCCTATGCTGGAATGTTGTCTGGTCCTGCTGCTTTTGCCGCTCTTGATGTGTCTGATGTCCATACTTTTCTCTTCAACAGTAGTGCGCGAACATCTATCGGGAGGTCCGTAGATGCTGCTTGGATGTTGGGTGGGTTAAGTGGAGCTGGTCGATTCAAGAGTTCCTTAAAGTGCTCCACCCACCTGTTTCGCTGTTCTTCAGTGTTGCTGATTACTTTGCCTTCCTTGCTCTTCACTGGTCGTTTTGGTTTACGATGGTTTTCAGCAAGCTTCTTTGTTTTTAGTACAATCATCTAGAGTTTCCTTTTCTTGCAGCTTTTTTCGCTGTCATTGCTAGATCGTCCACATATTTTAGTTTGTCAGCTTTGATGCTCTTCTTCACTTCCCTGTTTGCTTCTGTGTATGTATGCAGCTTGTGCCTTAACGTTCTCTGCTCCTGTTAGGCTGACATTGATTGCCGCCTTCTTGTTCCTCCTTTCTTCAATTTTTGCAAGAGTACCAACAGACATTCATTCCTTGTAGTGGTGCATCTTAAGACCCAGGACCTCCTGACATGTTAAAGTGATTGCCTCTTTGATCCCTTCCCTACAAATTTGGTCAATTTGGCTTTGAGCAGCGTGATCCGGAGAAATCCATGTAGCTTTATGTTTGCGCTTGTATGGGAATATTGTGCCACCGAGGATCAGTTTGTTGAAGGCACATAGGTTTGCAAATCTCTCACCGTTTTCGTTCCTTTCTCCCAGTCCATGTCGTCCCATGATGTCTTCATATCCAGTGTTGTCCATGCCAACCTTGCCGTTTAGGTCTCCCATCAGAAAGGTCAAATCCTTTGATGAGCATCTGTCGACGATTGACTGCAGCCTTTAGTAGAATTGATGTTTATCATCGTCATTGTAGTCATTGGTAGGTGCATAGCATTGGCCGACGTTCATTGTTATGTCCGCTTTCTTCGTTATGAAGGATGCCTAATTGATCCAGGGTCCATGAAATTTCAATCCTATCAGTGCCTTTTGTGCTTGTTTGGACAGCATCAGTGCAACTCCTTGTGTATGTGAAGCATTTTCCTCTTCATGACCAGAGTATAACAGCAGTTCCTCTGAAGCTAGTCTCAGTTGTCCTACCTGTGTCCAATGCGTTTCACTGAAGCCGAGCACCTCGAGGTTGTATCTTTTCATTTCTGCCGCAACTTGAAATAGTCTTTCAGTCTCCCACAATGTTCGAACGTTCCATGTACCTAAAAAAATGGTTGCTCTGGTTGTCAGAAGAGGCATCGGCCCCGTGACTTCCGAGGGAACTCGGCTTTCATCAGGAGACGTCATATTTCTTCCTCCAACTCCCACGGCAGAGTTAAAATGGTTTGAATTATTTTTTCTGGTTAGCGTTTTTTTGGCAAGTTAGTTTTTGACGGAATGGGGTCGCCAACCCCATGTCCAACCCTCCTCCTTTACCCGGGCTTGGGACCGGCAGTAGCCCGGAAGGTTCTACTGGCGGAGTTATATTGTTAAATCAGCTTCTCATAAATATTTATCATAATGGTGTACTTCAAGAATAGTAAGCTTCAAAATATTTGGTTGCAGATCAGGTATTCTCCCTTAGGATTCTATGATATTTACATATTGAAATGCGGTCGATATGCTGTGCAACAAACTATTCCTCATCTATGTGTTCCTCATCTTGTGTTTTTGTAGACTATAAAACTACCACACACGCAAACTGGGCACATTATGTTCTAACTTTTGTTGTAACATCCGCCTTCATGCCCATAAAAGCACACAAGAACAAATTGGTCACAATCAAATCCTTTCTACACCTCTTAGTAACTCTTTTATCTCCTCGACCAACCCTTCTTTCGATCGCTTATCACCTCACGCCACTGAAGCAAACGGTATGAGCTCACGAAACATTATTCCTGGTCTCTTGAAACCCCGTACTAAATTACGTATAGGAGATTTTAATGTTCGGACCCTATGCCAAATAGGGCAACATGCTTTATTAGCTAGAACTGTGGAATCCCGTGTGACCGATGTATGTTGCGTCTCCGAAACGCGCATACAAGATCCGAGTAAAATGATCAATTTGATCTCACCTGGTGTAGGTGAGATTCCACATCGCCTCTATCTTTCTCTTTCTAAAGTTTTCTCACTGAATTATACTTCTTGAATAAAATCTTTGAACCCTAATCTCTGCGATTACTTCTAATACTTTTACTACCTCTATTACTATGGGATTTGAATTAACACTTATATCTCTGTGATAATATGGTATGGCAACTTGCACTGCTGTACGTACGTGCAAAGTTCTACGTTGCTATTGATGATGAACTTTTGTTGATATTCTTTTTTTTTTAAAATTACAGTCGTACTCAGTTGGTTATTCACATGTCGAAACGTTCTGGCTTAGGTGTGGTATGTCATATTTGTTCAACTTTCTAGCTAAAAATAAGATCACTAGTGAAGAGTTATCGAAACCTTTAAAATTATCAAAACCATCTTTGGATAGCGATGAAGAAGATTACAACGATAAAGATTGTTTTCGATTGTATGAAACAGATCTAGATGGTATTGGATTGTTTTGTTTACTGTAATAATTATTCTACAAGGTCAAGAAGCCACAACTTTAGAATATGATGATGAAGTTAAAATTACACCATTTAACATGAAAGAAGAATTGGAAGAAGATGGACATTTCGATTCGACTGGCACTTTTATTTTCAAAAAGGTTAGTAAAGAAATCATTCATAATGATTGTGCTTGTTTGCCTATTATATAAAGCAAATTGATACTCGTGATCATTGGTTAGAAGATATTAATTGGTTAGAAGTTAAAAAATATCAAGAACAAAATACACTGAAAGATACATCAATAAGTGATGAACTAGGCGGTAAAGTGTTGAGTAAAGAAGAGAAACTTACATTGTACAAAGAACTGTTATCTTATTTACAACCATGTGAAACAGTTCTACGTAGCATCAAACGTATGGGCGCTTGTTCAGATGTGAAAAAATCTGCTTCAGCCAGTCAACGTTGGTTACAAAAGAGAAAACTGAAAACTGAAACTCAAACGTAAGTGTCATATATGATGATGTATATTTGACTGTGTCATATGATTTATTTCTAATGTCAAGTATAATTTGTTACACTTGTGTTTCAAAGTGTAAACAAGAAATACTCTCCTCAACAAAGTTAATAATATTTAAATGGTGCCATTGTATTTCTTGTTATTTAACATGATTTACTTCCTTAAGGCATCATAGGCCGCCAACTAGCATTCTGGAGTGAGTGACCCGCATGCCCAAACCCTCTTATTTTTACCGGGTTTTGGATTGGCAATAACCCTAGAAGGGCTCCAGGTGGAGTTAGTTATTATTGAATCAAATTGCCTTGATTGGTTCTAACATTTTTATTATAAATACTGATGTATATTGGAGAGTAAGACAAAGAGACCGATTTGGTCTCTCGTGCTGTTACAAGTATGAGGGCGGTTGTCACTTCCCGGCTGCCCACACCGGGGAAGGTTGTTTCTTGAGGGACCTGAAAAGGAAGGTAGATCAGTGTTGGTCTTAGAGACCTGGAAGTGTGACCGCAGAGCCCAGGGGACAACTGCTTGAGGCCTTTCGATGAAAGGTTTTTTGAGTATTAGCTCCGCTCTTAAAAGCCCTTAGTGGCACCCTTACCACCGGAGACGGAAATCCGTTAGGTCGGGTGAGGTGTGACATTTTTAGGGTCGACCCTTTCTAACACTTCCTTCCTTGTGAGAAAGCAGCATCACTGCAGATGCTGGTTGTCCGAGGGAAACACCTTACTGCTGTCACACCCCTCTGCAGTCAGCAGTACGACTTCGCCCTCAGACCTTGAGTAGCTGCTTTCAGTCTGATTGTTCTCCAATCGACCTGCGTTGCATGGTATAACCTCCAGGAACATACATTCCAGCCAGTATAGCTCGGTTGAGTCATCATGATTGGCAAGACCAACCACCACATCTAGGTAGCAGCTACGGTCGGGATTGGAAAGTAAAGCCTGATGTTGACGATCTAATTGAAAACAACAATATTGTTCGCTTATTATCTGTGTTGTTCTCATTTTCACAATGGTCATCTTAAATAATCTAAAGTGTATTATGAAATAGCAAAGTGTAAATTGATTCAGTCTCCATTTCTGAGCGTAAAATTTTTCCTTTGACCTTGAGGATTCCAAGTGAGGGCTTGTTGTGTGACGCAGTTGGGTACTTCCCTCAATGTTTGTGGCATCCACTTCCAGCGCATCTTCCTGATTTCTTCCTCTGATGGAATCTGGTTTGTTCTCTCCCACAATGTTTTGGCTGATGGCGTCTGACCAGCGAATCCGAATTATTTTGTGTAGATAACTGTTAATAAATACTTGTTTCTTCTGGATGATGCCTTTCGTGGTTCTCGAAGTTTCCACTCCATACAGTAGAACTGTCTTGACATTTGTATTAAAAATTGTGACTTTAGTGTTGATTGATAGTTGTTTTGAGTTCCAGATGTTGTTCAGTTGTATAAATCTTGTCTTTACTTTGCCGAAAAGAATAATTATAAGTAAGAATAATTTTTAAAAACCATAGGAAAAGACAAAATGTGAACTTGAACAATATTGTTTAAGACACAGAAATCAAGCCTGAAACACTGTTAATTGTGATCACTTTCTCATTGTTTCATAAAGAAACGAAAAACTTGAAACAAATTTCTGCAAAATTCTTGATAGATTTGTGAAAAGAAAGCTGACTAGAAATGTTTGACTGTTAGGGATGTACCCAAGGAGGTTGTTAAACAGGTATTGTATAAACTATGAATTTATTACAATCGGTCGGTGAACTACAACGCAGAACCCCGTAGTTACGTACATCAGTTCCAATTGCCATACCACATCACCACACATACAGATCGAATTGTCAATTTAAATCCCATAGCAGTAGAGGTACTAGAAGTATTATTTATCTGTGATAGAGAAAATTAGGTTTCGAAGAAATTATTTAAGAAGTATAGTAATCCAGTGAAATAAATTCTAAAAAGAAAGAAAGATAGTGACCGGAAATTCAGGGCATAAGAATTTAAGAGCACACAAAGAGTAGATGCGCCTGCGCCGTTCAAACAATCTTGAGCCATGTTCAAGGTCTGTAAAATCGTTTGCTATCATTTGGCGGACTTGAACTTAGTAGTCTGCACCTACCAACATGACTTAGTCCAATTGTCAGTGACCTAATGGATTTGTGCCGTGTTCTGATTTGGCAGTCGATAGTTGGGCATAAATAACACATTTCCCAACCAACTCAAGATTCGCTACTTCATCAACTAATTTGCCATCCTTACCTAGTATCCGTTTCCTAACAACAGTGTTGCCTATTAGGTGGATCCACGATATACGAGCAATGCTTCGAACACATCTGTGGTTGAAAACTAGTAACCTACGAATATCATCTACTCTTACTGGCCATGTTTCATAGCCATAATGTTGGATGGAGCGAACTGCTGCGCAGTAAACACGTAGATGTAGATGGATATCTTGCCTAAGCCATAAGTGACATAGGTCGGCAAATACTCATCGATCTTTCTTCATCCGTGCTGAGACTTCGTCACATACAAGGCCATCAGGACTGATGCGATTCCCAAGTTATGTGAAGTGGTCAACTTCCTTTTAAGCTTATTCAGCATGTGATATCATGATGATTAAACAATTTCCATTCTTAATGCGTATGTCAATCTACAATGGACGACAGCCATGTCGATTTATTTCTTTTACTTATATCTAACAATCCACTTCTGACTAAAGCATAATTCACTCAGGAGTTTTTATTTGTTCCCTAATAAAGCTTATTAAGCACTTATAGCCGAAAAATTGACTTTGAATCTAACCAACATTCAGATTGATTATTCTTCTCATTGTCTACCTCCCTTTCGCAGCGTAATTTCTCTTTCTTCGCCTTCCTCTTTTCCTTCGACCATGAGGGTTCCAAGTGAGGGCTTTTTACAAAGTTTGGTACATTCCTCAGTGTATCTGAGAGATTTGCAAACCTATTTGCCTTCAACAAACCGATCATCGAAGGCACAGTATTCCCACACAAACATATACACAAAGCTACATGGATTGATTTCACCGGATCAAACTACTCAGAAAGAGAGATTATAACAGTTTAAAATTAGAAGATACTGATGAATTTAAATTTTCTTTTAAGATATCTGAATTCATATCAGAAGAAGCATTATTCATAAGAGATAAACCAATAATATTAGTAATTATTAACAAGTGAAGCCATTTCAGTGAAGAAGATCATTCTATTTGGTGAATTCTTAATTATGTTTGCTGTAAATCTGTAGTTTATAATTGTTTGATAAAACTATTAGTCTATAGATGGAAAGCAGTCTGATAATTTAAACACCAACAGAAGGGTACATTATGACGAAGAGGTTAGAGGATGAAAGTAATGTACAGGTTAGAAAAAAATAAGAGATATTTGTTCACTTAACAGATAGTGGCTAAGCAATAAAGAACATAAAGGTCATATTAATAAATACCTAGAATATGGCTAGCAACGGAGAAGAATCTAAGAAGCACGTTTCGTCAAATTTAGGGCTCACCAGCTAAATGTACCCCGATATCTAATCTGCCGGATGTAATAGAATCTATGGATTATTGTACAGATCGACGATTTCGATCCCAAATCCCTATGAAAATTAATTACGAAAAGCTTTCCCTGAGAAAAATTTTTCAGAACAGTCCTTAATAGCATACATTTAGTGAATTAACGAAAAGAGAGTTTATGTGTTCTGTTGCGAAATAACTCAAGTTTCTCATGAACTGTCAAAGATTACAAGACAGTTCAGTCCATTCATGGGTTAGAACGAACAATATTTAACATCTCAATTAAGGACAATGATTTAGTTGAAATGATCTATTTTGATACTGGATGAATCTGTAAAATGACATTTCACTGACCGTCAAATAACTGAGAAAATTCATACTTCATTGTAATTTTTGGCAACACGAAATAGGACTGTAATTTCGGAGAACCATAACGTCTTGAATGATGTATCTCTTCCCTTTAATTTCCATATTTCATACTCACGAGAACCCTGTAATGACCGATGGCGGTTATATGAAGCTAAATTTGGATTCAGTTGGATGAGTACATTTTATGCAATTATTTGTACATTGGAATCTGGTTTGTTCTCTCCTGCAGTAGATTGTTAACAATTACGTCTGACTAACGGATCCGACGTATTTTTATGTAGACAACGGTTAATAAACACTTGTATGTGTATGGATAATGGCTTTCGTGATTTGCCAAGTTTCTGACGTGTACAGTAGAACTGTTTTGACATTTGTATTGAAAATTCTGATTTTAGTGTTGGTTGATAGTTGTTCGAAATTCCAGATGTTCTTCAATTGAAGAAATAGTCTCCTTGCTTTGTCAATCCATGCCTAATAATCGTTCATCATGAACTACTGACCGTCGAGAAGTGATTCAAATCAAATATCATCAGTATTGTAATTTGTTGAACAGTCAGTTAAAAAATTCTTAAATTTTTTTACAAGACGTTGTTTGATACTAATACGTGATTTGTATAAACTGCCGTTGACATAAATATTATTGAAACATTCAGTTATTTTAGTAATCTTATTTTTGATTGGTTACAGTTGTGCTTTTAGTAAATATTCGCGGCTACCATTCTTTGGTACTGTTAAGTTGTGTCGGTAGTGTATGTATTGATTTGTCGAGGTTATAGGATTTGTGCCAGCTCTTTGCACAAATTCACTAATTCAGTCATCTTGAGTCAATATCCACACAATTTTGGACTTTGTCAATTATTCATTCGCCTTTATCTTGCTTACTTTTAGTGGAATACATGCGTGCAATACTTACTTACTTCGCTTATCACATGTCTAGTTCAATTTTATCTCACTATAAATACTTGGACACAACTCATCCTATTGAATTGATTCATACTCATCCATCATTGCGATTTATTTGCAGCTTTTATTTTCTCATGTCCGTCTGTGTGACCGGTTCCATGAAATAAGCTCAACCAACCGAATACGTATTTGGTTTCCTACTACAACTGTCGGACACACGGAATTCACCTAACTATGACAAACAGAAATCAGGATCATGATTGACCGAACGAGATACAAGTCGTACACGTTGAGAAACTCGAATAAATTTCTTCTACTGGAAGTTTATGTGAATGATGTTGTGTTCAGAAGAACACCCAGATCATACAAACGAACTTACATCAAATTCATCCACCTCAGCTAAACGCTTTCTACACCATCTGAAAATTGAAGGAGAGATTTATTTCACAGAATATTCATTTGTTCGTCTAAACTGGAATCA